GTGCTTTGAAAAGTTCTCAACAATTGTTAAAAATTCAGAGCTTGTCGCGTCCGGCCTTTGCTGGAAAAACTGTGACGATGTTCAGGGACGGGTCTGCCTCGAAAAGTGGCCCTCGTTGAACTGTCCATCACAGTCAAACATCAGGACACATTTAATAATAATAATAATAATAATAATAATAATAATAATAATAATAATAGTAGTAGTAAAGTTGGAAGGGACCTTGAAGGTCATCTAGTCCAACCCCCTGCTCAGGCAGGAAACCCTATACCATTTCAGACAAATGGCTGTCCAGTCTCTTCTTAAAAACTTCCAATGTTGGAGCATTCACCGCTTCTGGAGGCAGGTGGTTCCACTGGTTAATTGTTCTCACTGTCAGGAAGTTTCTCCTTAGTTCTAGGTTGCTTCTCTCTTTGGTCAGTTTCCATCCGTTGCTTCTTGTCCTGCCTTCAGGTGCTTTGGAGAATAGCTTGACTCCCTCTTCTTTGGGGCAGCCCCTGAGATACTGGAAGGCTGCTATCCTGTCCCCCCTCGTCCTTCTCTTCGTTAAACTAGACAGACCCAATTCGTAAACTCAGTTTTACGATCATTTTTACGTTGTGGCAAATTTTATAAAATTGAACGTTAATTCGGTGGGAGCCCTGGCTCCTGCATTTTGGATGCATCCTGTGTAAGCGAGCCCGCCGGAGGCACCTTGATTCAAAAATGGCCGCCGTACGAAATTTAAAGGTTACGTCAGCGAGGATTTTAGGAGTAGATCGATAGATTCAAGGCGCGTAAAATAAGCAGGCAGGAAAATTTCACGAGGTGTCCTTGTAGCTTGAAATAGGAACTACCCAGAGCCTGAAGGCAAACGAAAGCCTCGCCCAGGACAGTTCGGACGTGACAACTTTTAAGGTGTTTTGTGGATGGGCTTGGAATTGGACTTCAACTCCCAGAATTCCACAGCCAGAAGACATTTCACCCCCCCCTCCCCTTCAACGGGGTTCGGTTCTCAGAATCTGCCAGGACCAGGGAATGGGCCAAGGTTTCTTGGCGAGGCCAGCCACTTGTCTGAAATGGTGTATAGAGTTTCCTGCCTGAGCATGGGGTTGGACTAGATGACCTCCAAGGTCCCTTCCAACTCTATTCTATTCTATTCTGTTCTGTTCTGTTCTGTTCTGTTCTGTTCTGTTCTGTTCTGTTCTGTTCTGTTCTGTAATTCTATTCTATTCTATTCTTCCATTTCATATTTTCTATTCTATTCTGTTCTGTTCTTCCATTTCATATTTTCTATTCTATTCTATTCTTCCATTTCATATTTTCTATTCTATTCTATTCTTCCATTTCATATTTTCTATTCTATTCTATTCTGTTCTGTTCTGTTCTGTAATTCTATTCTATTCTATTCTTCCATTTCATATTTTCTATTCTATTCTATTCTTCCATTTCATATTTTCTATTCTATTCTATTCTTCCATTTCATATTTTCTATTCTATTCTATTCTATTCTTCCATTTCATATTTTCTATTCTATTCTATTCTTCCATTTCATATTTTCTATTCTATTCTATTCTTTCTGTTCTGTTCTGTAATTCTATTCTATTCTATTCTTCCATTTCATATTTTCTATTCTATTCTATTCTATTCTATTCTATTCTATTCTATTCTATTCTGTAATTCTATTCTGTTCTGTAATTCTATTCTATTCTATTCTATTCTATTCTATTCTATTCTATTCTTCCATTTCATATTTTCTATTCTATTCTATTCTATTCTATTCTATTCTATTCTATTCTATTCTTCCATTTCATATTTTCTATTCTATTCTATTCTATTCTATTCTATTCTATTCTATTCTATTCTATTCTATTCTATTCTTCCATTTCATATTTTCTATTCTATTCTATTCTATTCTATTCTATTCTATTCTATTCTATTCTATTCTATTCTATTCTATTCTATTCTATCCCCCAAAGCTAAGTGGGATTAAAATGAAAAGCCTAAATGGAAACTTAAGTAAGACACAGATTTATTTATTTAATTTATTTGGAAAATTATATATGGCCGCCTCCTCGCACACGCCGACCAAAAGCAGCTTACGCAGATATAAAAATGCCCTATAAAAAGAATAGCATAGGAGCTGGAAGGGACCTTGGAGGTCTTCTAGTCCAGCCCCCTGCTCAAGCAGGAGAACCTATACCGTCCCAGACAAGTGACTGTCCAATCTCTTCTTAAAAACCTCCAGTGATGGAGCGCCCATGATTTCTGGTGGCAAGCAGTTCCACTGGTTAATTGTCCTCCCTGTCAGGAAGTTTCTCCTTAATTCCAGGTTGCTTCTCTCCTTGGTCAGTTTCCATCCGTTGTTTCTCCTCCTTCCGTCTGGAGCTTTGGAGAATAAGTTGATTCCCTCGTCTTAAAATAAATACAAAATAAATAAAAAAGCAACACGAAGAAAAAATAATAAAAATAATAACCCCCATCCCACTCCCTGCCACCGCAGCGACGACAACACACATTCAGACGGTGCATCTCGGTCCTTACAAAGAACCCATAAGGGCTAGCAGGGGTCCCTGAAGGCCATCTAGTCCACCCTCCTGCCCGGGACGAATGAGAGCTCAGCAACAACTGAGGCTTCTCTTGACCAAAACCCATTTTTAGTGGTGACTTTTTGCAGGGATTGTGACGGTTGTGCAAAAGGTGTGTGTGTGTGTGTGTGTGTGTGTGTGTGTGTGCGTGTGTGCGTGTGCGTGTGTGTGTAAAAGTAGAATTCTTTTTTCCGCCACGGAGGTGGCTTTGCCTGTGCCGAAGAAGACTCGTTCAGGCCTTCTCCCCTCTCAGTGTGAGTGTGCACATCGTTGTGTGTGTGTGTGTGTGCTATATGCGCCACAATGCTGACACTCTCCTTGTGGCTACATGTCTGTGACCCACAGGCAGTGCTCGGAGCCCGAGGACTGAAGGGCGAGAAAGGCGAACCGGCCGTCTTTGAACCTGTAAGTTGCCGTGGTGTGTTTGTGTCTTTGTGTGTGTGTGTGGGTGTGTGGGTCTTGGCTCCCTCCCCATCTGGGCCAAAGACGAAGCCCCTCCCTGTGGCCAGCCGGGGCCACATCTAGCCCGCCTTGCCCGATGGGAAAGGAGATCGGCAAGCACGGGCTTGAGGGCAGGGATGGGATGGGAGGCCATCAGGCGATCCCACGGCAGGAAGGAAAGGGGTGGACGGGCTCAGAGCTTGGCTGGAGGGCGGGAAGGACCCTTGGGGGCTGGACCGTTGTGATTGTGCTCGGGAGATGCTGAGTAGTTTGGCTTCCAGGCCCTAAAAATCAATATTTGTCAAGCTGGGCCGCTGGAAGATGGGTGGACTTCAACTCCCAGAATTCCCCAGCCAGCAAAGCTGGCTGGGGAATTCTGGGAGTTGAAGTCCACCCATCTTCCAGCGGCCCA